CAACATTCTTCCTTCATTGAGTTCTTACCTAAATTCAACGTATCTGCTTTTACTGCAAACTGGAACCAGAGTTCAATGCAGGCAGTGAATGGACTAGGTTTCCAGTTCCTTCAGGGTCAGCTCTGCACACTTCACCATCCAGACAGAGTACATTCCATCAGCAGGATGATGTTGCCACCACCAGATGGCAGTGCCTCCCTCTCCTCAGATCTGATTTCAACATTGTGTTCAAAACAAAGGATTGAGTTTGCTGCTGATGGGTTGGGTTAAAAAAAAATGAGACTCTGGGAGGGGGAGGGACTGAAAGACCAAAATTTTTCAGTAATGGGAACTAAGTCTTCTGACTGAGGGACCTGGCTGACTTTCAGGTCCCAAAGCTGTCCCTCCTGTAATCACAATAAAGAAGAAAGATGCAGAAACTCTTGGGAGTTTGTTTAGTGATTCTGTGGCTTCAGCTGGCTAGTGAGTGGGGTCTGGTGGAGATGGGAACAGGGAGACCCTAGTTTAGAGCCAACTTGCCAGAGAGATGAGTCTGCCTGTGATTTTGGAAATGGAATTTGAAAATTCAGTTACTAACATCTGGTCTCTGGCCTCATTTCTGCCTAGGGGTGAACAGCCAACAAAGAGAAGAGAGTCCTCAGGTCCTGAGCATCCAGGGGGGAGAAAATGCTACCATGAACTGCAGTTACAAAATTAGTACTACCAACTTGCAGTGGTATAGACAGGATTCAGGTAAAAGTCCTGCTTTGGCGATTTTAATACATTCAAATGAGAAAGAAAAACACAGGGGAAGACTAACAGCCACCCTGGACACCTCCACCAAAAGAAGCGGCTTGTCCATCACGGCTTCCCAGGCTGCAGACGCAGCCACTTACTTCTGTGCTACAGATGCACAGTGTCAGCAGGCACCTGCAGTCCTGACGCAAACCCTGCCAGGGCTGCTTCCCAGAAGCCCTCTCCATGGGTGGACTTGGTGGTTACATATCCTCCATGAAGGAGGGAAGGGAGACCATTCAAATTCGTGGCTTTTTTTTTTTTTTGAAGCATCTTGAAATAGGGCAAAGGTCATGAAATATGGAATGGGAACTGCAATGCCAGG